GCTATAACTACTACAACCTTAATATCTTCTCCATCTATCATGGTGCTACCAATTGGCCCAGTGGTGAGAATATTTGTCTTCTTGATATTAAGCTTCAATTCATATTGAAGACTATAGTCCTTGACTTTCTGTAGCAAGAACTTCAAGTCTTTTTTCGTTTCAACAAAGTTGCGTCTTTTCCCTATTGTAGATTGTTGATAAATCTTTCTCCAGTCTTAATGTGACACTCCTCTTCATAAAACCTTGCTTCCTGAATGATCTGTCTGCAGATCGATTGAAAATGACAAGACACATCCCTGATACACTCTCTTCTTAATTTTAAATCATGCAGTGTTTCCTTGCTCTGTTCTGAGGACTGCTTCTTGGTCCTAATATAGGTTTCAGATAAGCACAATTGAGTGGTCTGGGATTCTCATTTTCCTCAAGGTTAGCCACAGTTTGTTGTGATCTACACAATCAAATGCCTTTGCATAGTTAATGAAACACAAAAAGACATTCTTCTGGTACCTTCTGCTTTCTGCCAAGATCCATCTGACATTGGCAATAATGTTTCTAGTGACACAACCTCTTCTAAACTCAGCTTGCATTTCTGGTAGTTCTCAGTCAATGTACTATTCCAGTCATTTTTTAGTAATCTTCAGCAGGATATTGCTAGTGTGTGATATTAGTGATATTGTTGGGTCACTTTTTTTTTTAATGGGAATAAATATTAATCTCTTTCAGTCAGTTGGCCAAGGAATTGTCCTCCAAATTTCTTGACACAACTTGGTGAGCACATGCAGGGCAGCAACTGGTTGCTGAAATATATCAATTGGTATTCCATCAATTCCTGGGGCTTTATCTTTTGCCAAATCCTTCAGAGCAGCCTGAACTCCCTCCTTCATCACTATTGCCTCTTGCTCATATGTTGTTTCTTGAAATTCTTCTGTGTCAGCCAATTCTTTTTGGTACAATGAATCTGTATATGCCTTCCATCTGCTTTTAATGCTTCCTGAATCATTTAATATTCTGCCCATAGCATCCTTAAGCATTGCAACTTGTGGCTTGAATTTGTTCTTTAGTTCCTTCAGCTTAAGAAATGCTGAGCAAGTTCAGCCCTTTTGATTTTCTGACTCTAGCTCCTTGAACATTTCCTTATAATACTTTGCTTTGTCTTCCTAAGTTGACCTTTGAAATCTTCTATTTAGCCTCTTAACTTTTTGATATATTCTCTTTACTTTTACTTCTTAGTGCTCTAGTGTAATATTCAGAGTCTCTTCTGACATCCATTTTGGTCTTGTCTTTTTCTTCCTTCTTTGTAATGACTTTTTGCATTTTTTATGAATGATATTATTTATATCTTCCCCAAACTTATCTTGTCTATATTCATTAGTGTTCAAGGCCTTGAACCTATTCCTGAGTTGGTTTTTAAATTCATGGAAGATAAACTCAAGGTCAAATTTTGATTCCTATGGATATAATTTAACCTTCTTTAGCTTTAATTTGAAATTGTATATGAGTTGTTTATGGTCTATTGCACAATCAGCCCCTGTTCTAGTTTTCATAGCTGATACTGAACTTCTCCAATGATTCTTTCCACAGAAGTAATAGATCTGATTCCAGTGCATCCCATCAGATGAAATCCATGTGTATAGACTGTATTCATGTTTCTTTTAAAAGATATTTGCTATTAACAAATCATTGTAAAGAATTCTATCATTCTACCCTCAGCCTAATTTCTGTCACCAAGTCCATATTTTCTGACTACTGATCCTTCTTCCTGGTTCCCAACTTTTGCATTCAAGTATTTTCCATATTATAGGAAAAAATTACATGTGGGGTATCTACAGCCAATAGTTGCCTTCCAGGCATTCTTCAGTTCTCTTAATGTTATCAAAAAAGAAGCAATATTTGACTGCAAGATTGACAGAGTATCCAACCTGATAAAATAGGGTGATTCTGACAAATTTTTAGGATGAGTTACATTAAAAATCACAGGAGAGGAGCAAATGGGGGGGGAGGGGTTTGTGCGGGGAGAAGGGTGCAACAATGAATAAATGGAATCCCAAAATCTCTGTAGATGTTCATTGAAATTAAAAATAAACAACCTAAATTAAAAAAAAATCACAGTGAATGCACAGTATGAGTTGGATGTCTGTACAGAGTAATGTTGTGTTGTTTGTCCCCATTTTGTATCAGCTGGACTTGCCTTTCTAGAATTATGAGACCACCTTGGAGAAAGGTGAGTGGTGCATGACACTGGGGAAGCACCTTAAAGTGTTTCCAGATCATTATGTCCATTGTCCTCTGAAGTAATTGCCTGTTGTCTCTGCTGGCCTTTGAATCAGTGTGCAAACTCTATCATAATAATGGGGGTCTGTTCCTATTTTTACGTGGCTTAACCACCAAGTATCCAAAGCTTAATGTGCTGTGCTCTGTAAATATTTTATGGATTTAACACTGGTAAACTTGCCTTGGATGCCAACACAATTTTAGGGATAAAATATGATAAAAGTAATAGTACTTTACTAACATCAAGTGATTTTATAGCTGTAATCAGTGAGTGTGGTTTGTGGAGGCCCTTGAAGTGATATGTGCGCAAGGAGGGATAAAGAAAATAAGAGTGGATTTGAAAGTGTTAAAAAAAACCAAACAAAAAAAAAAAAGAGGATGAAAGTCACACAAGGGTTGAGGACTTTTCTTCATAGGGTTGCTATGAGTCACCTACTGACTCGACGGAACTTAACAACAACATCTCTTATTAAAAATCATCTAAATAATTTTATGCCCCAGTTTTTCCATTTGAATTTCTAGAAGAGCAGGCCAATTTGACTCTGATTACATTAGAATGTTGTTTTGTGTAATTCTTCTGTGTCAGCCAATTTTTTGTGTGTGTACAGTGTCTCTGTGTACTCTTTCCATCTTTTTTTGATGCTTTCTGGATCACTTAGTATTCTGTCCATAGCATCCTTAAGTATTGCAACTCAAGGTTAAATTTGTTTTTCAGTTCCTTCAGTTTAAGAAATGCCAAGCGAGTTTGTCCTTTTTTTTTTTTAATCCAGTACTCTGCACATTTTATTATAGTACTTTGCTTTGTCTTCCTGAGCTGCTCTTTGAAATCTTCTGTTCAACTCCTTAACTTCTTGGTTTCTTCCCTTTGCTTTGGCTTCTCAGCTCTCTTTGTAACGACCATTTGCAGTCTTCCTGGATGATTTTCTTGATATGATCCCACATCTCATTTGATCTTCATTCAGTAGGGTTCAATATCTCAAAACTGTTTCTGAGATGGAGTTGAAATTAAAGTGGAATAGACTCATAGTCAAGTTTTAGTTCCTGTGGATTTGATTTGACCTCTTTAGCTTAATTTGAATTTGCATATCAGTAGTTGATCTGTACCACAATTAGCACCCAGCCCAGTTTTCACAGCTGATATTGAGCTGATTCTTTCCACAGATGTAGTCAATCTGATTCCTATGCAGACCATCAAGTAAGGTCCCCGATTATAGTCTCTACCTATGTTTCTTACAAAAGGTATTTGCAATGAATAAATCACTGGCTGTACAAAATTCTATAATTTCATCTCCAGCCTCATTTCTGTCACAAAGCCTGTGTTTTCTGACACTGATTTTTCTTCTGTTTCCAACTTTTGCATTGCAATCACTCATTATTATTATTAAAACATCCTGGTTGCATGTTCAATCAATTTCTGACTGAAAAGTTTGGTAGAAATAACATATTTTCTCCTCTTTGGGGCTGGTTGTTGGTGGATATATTTGAATCATGGTGGTATTAACAGGTATTCCTTGTATGTGTATGGATATTATCCTGTGTCTCACAACACTATATTTCAAGGTTTATCTGAAAATGGTCTTTTCAACTATGAATGCAACCCTATTTTTTCTCACCTTTTCATTCTTACCATAGTAGATCATATGATTTACTGAAAATGTCCCATTCTAATCATCATTTCTCCAATGCTTAGTACATCAATATTTCTGTGTTCCATTACTCTCTTAAGAATATCCAGTTTTCCTGTATTCATGCTTCTCACATTCCACATCACTAATGTCTGTCTGTAACTGTTTTCCCTCCTTTGTGTCTGCCAACATGAAAACTCAGCCTCAGGTATCATATCTACTTGTCTAATGTAAAAGTGCTTTATTGTGCATAGTGTAGTTGGCGAAACGAATTGAAGCTCAATATCACAAAAATGAAGATTCTCACCACTCGGCCAATTAGCAGCATCATAACAGATGGACGAGAGATTGAGATTGTTAACAATTTTAGCTTGCTTGGTTCTACAATCAACACTCTTGGCACCAGAAGTCAGGAAATCAAAAGACAAATTACATTAGGAAAATTTCCTTTCAGGGACTCACCATAGTAGTAAAGAGCAATGACGTGATGAGGTGTGCTTGATCCAGATCATGGTCTTCATAATTACCTGTTAGGCACCAGAGAGCTGGAAAAGGACCAAATATGACAGAAGAACTCCTGCCTTTGAGTTGTGGTGCTGGAGAAGAGTATTGTACATACTATGGACTGCCAAGAGGACAAACAGTTCTATTTAGGAGAGAGTGAAGACACTCTGTTCTTTAGACGTAAGGATTCTGAAGCTATTTCTCACATTCTTTGGGCATGCTGCCGGGAGGGACCATTCCTTGAAAAAGCACATCATGTTTGGAAGCTTAGGAAAAGAAGATCCTGGTTGAGATGGATTTACACAGTAACTAGGGTAATAAGGATAGGTGTGTCAGAGACAGTGAGATTGGCTCACCATAGGACAGGATTCAGAGCTATTGTGCATTGGGCCACTATGAGTTGTGGTTGACTTGATGGCACATAACAACAACAACAACATTAGAATAAATCTTGAGTATAGAGAGATCTTGCTTCACCATTACCACAAACTGGTGGTATATTGAAATATAATCTAACATATCTCCAGAACACTACATGAAGACATTTTTTTAACTTTCTTCTTAGAGCCATCACAGAGATTGACAGCCACATATACTTACCCTGGTGTCGTAGCAATCAGGGTCTGCTTCCTCTGCACAGCATTCTTCAGTCAAGGACACAACTTCTTTCACAAGCTCACGGACCTGTCCAAATGTACTACTGGGGAATTTTCGGCTGTATAGGACCATAGATCTGAAGAAAGAAAGAAGTAAAAAAAACAGTTAAAACTCTAACTAGGGATTTTTTTCATATGTTTATAAATTAAAATATTAAGTTTGATTTTTAAAAAGAAATATTACATATATTTTTAAAAATTTTTGTCGACAAATAAATATAAGGCTTCATTAGAAAAAAAGAAAACAAAACTCGAAACAAGTTGATTCTTACTCATGGCAACCCTCCAATGGGTTTCTAAGACTTTAATCTTACTGAGAGGTGACTGTGCCATTTTATTCCCCTCAGATGGCTGGTAGATTTATACTGCTGAGCTATTGGTTAATAGCCCAGCACTTGACCTGCTATTTCACCAGGGTTTCGTAAAACACTAGCAAATAGCTCTTATTTAACTCTTTAAAATATTAAATAAGAAAGATATTGCTTTGAGGACAAAGATGCTCCCGACCCAAACTGTGATATTTTCTATCACCTTATGTGCAAATGAAAGATAGGAAATGAACAAGAAAGGCCAAACAATAATTGTTGTCTTTGAATTATGAAACTGATATAGAATATTGAATGTATCATGGACTTCCAGAAGAAGAAACATTTATTTTGGACAAACCATAGGCAGAATACTCTTTAGAAGTGAAGATGACACTTCATCACAAAACTTTGAGCATGTTATCAAGAGGGACAATTCCTCAGAGCAGGACATTAAGTAGGGGGTCAGTGGAAAAGAGGAAAATGCCCATCAAGATGGTTTCACAGAGTGGCTGCAACAATAGGTCCAAGCACACCAATAATTATGGGATGGAACAAGACTAGGATGTGTTTTGTTCTGTTGAACATAGTGTTGCTGTTAGTTGGAGCTAATTTGGTGACAAAGCAACCATAAATTATAAAGAATTTCTATTAAAAAGTGATACAAATCATACTTTCTATTAATCTCACACAGTGGTCTTTTTCTGTTTTCTTGAGCCTTCCCCGATGAGTTTTTTGTACTTAAGTCCCTTTATTGAATGGAGTCCTATGTGCTATGCATTCTCATTTTACCTTAGAAAATGATAATTTATTTGTTAACTTAATTTAAAAGTATAGTTATATAAAGCAAATGGACTGTAAATCCAATGATAACATACAGGTAGAATATAAAGAAACAATCAACTCATAACTCTGAGTTAATTTTATCTCATAGCCACCATCTAAAACACGATAGAACTGCCCTTTTGGTTTCCAAAGCTGAAAATCATAAAAGCCCTCTGTTACTCCTTTTCTCCCATCTTTCTCCCACAGGGCAGTTAGTTAACTTTTCATCTAACAGCTGAACTCTTAACCATTTCTCCACTACAGCTGCTTATTCTCAGACATAGTAGCTAATTCAACTGAGGTCTTTAAATATCCTCTGCTTGACTGATATTTCTGCCCACGTTGATTGTGAGAAACTCCCACTTTAAACACAGATCAGTTGGAAACCTCCATGTTAAATTAAAGTTATCTCAGACTCAGTTTTACTTAAGGCCAAGATTACAAGTGAGTGACTGGAAAAAACCCCCTCATTGCCATCCAATTAGAACCAAGTCATGACTGACCTTCCAGTGGGCTTCCAAAGCCTATAAATAACACCAAAGAACATTGTTTGTCTTTCTCCCTCAGGGTAACTATTGTATTCAAATTGGACACTTTTGAGTTGGAAGCACAACCCACGAGGCCACCAGCACTCTCAGTGGCTGAGTAGATGCTGCTTACTTACAAAGATCTAAAATCATCTTTTCCCAGATTGCGGAGCTCTGTGCAGACTTTATTCTTTTCATAATCACGACCTGGAAAAGTAGAAATAGAAAAAATGGAAACTTTTCAATTTGAGTAAAAACTACATTAAATATAAATTTATATGAGTCTCCCACACATGCTTTAATGAATGTGGTATTTTTCTCAACATTTGTATGATTTTTATTTTAATCTTTCCAGATAAAAAAAATGTATTGCGATGGGAAAGTCTTCTGTTAGGGACCTCTCCAGGGTACTGAAGAGCAATGGTGTCACTCTAGAGACTAAGGTGCATCTGATACAGGCTATGGTCTTTGCAATCACTTGTTATGCATCAGAGAGTTGGACAAGGACTAGGGAGGATAGAAAGAGAATTGATGCCTTTGATCTGTGGTGCTGGAGAAGAGTGTTGAATGTACCATGGACTGCCAAGAAAACAGATTCATCCTTGAGAGGGTTAAACCATGCTGCTCCTTGGCGGCAAGAATTCTGGGGCTTTGTCTGACATACTTTGGACATGTTGTAAGGAGAGACAGGTCCTTGGAGAGGGACATCGTGCTTGGGAGGGTGGAGGGACGGCGCAAGAGAGGAAGACTCTCTATGAGGTGGATTCATTCAGTGACTGGGGTAATCAGGATGGGTGTGTCAGAGGCAGTGCGATTGGCACAGGACAGAGCAGGTTTTAGGGCTGTTGTACATAGGGTCGCTATGAGTCGCAAGCAGCTCGGCAGCACATAACAGTAACAGATATATTCTCACAATAGACCAAATTTTAGAATATATTTAATTCTTAGTGAACAGTTAAAAATAAAAATAAGTAAAGTAATACTGGATTTGTGTAACTAAAATGACATATTTCTACTGATGACTCAAAATCTGTTGACATAACAATGATTTTCTTAGATTTCATACAGTGTAATTTTGCTAATATGTCATACATCCTCTCTTCCTTTCTTCCTCCCTCTTTAAGTCTCCCTTTCCTGTTTTCCTTCCTCTTTTCCTTTCTTCATTCCTTCCTCCCATCCATTGTTTCAATATCACTTAAATCTCAAAAATAAATACACAAAAACCAAACAGGTAGAAGATATATTTACATTCCAAAATGATAAAATAAATATTTACCTAGTGCAGGATTTTAAAGGTGTGTATAAGTAAATGTTGCCTTAATTGTTCCATTACCTGCGATGATATACATATGAAAGGCTTAAAGTTCAGTCATGGATCTAATGTAAATTAGATAAAATATTTTACTGGTGGAAATCTCAGTGTTGTAAAACTGGGGGAATGGTGGTGAGTGCTGTTCCACTGATGAAAGAGGTTTCCAGAAACCACTCATAACTTGATGAGTAATTCTGAGTTACAATGAATGGATTCAGATTCAAAACATCTGAAGAGTGAGAGATGGCCAAATGTGGACAAAAGAGAGAAGCTGTGATGTAGCTTATAGATATGATATGGGTCAATTAGGGGCATAGACAAGATGCCCTTAAGTGTCTTTAATGTTTCTTTTTCCTTCCAAAATGTCTATCCAAAGGCAGTGGGCTATAAACAGGGAAACATTTATGTTTGAGCTCAGGCCATTTGAAAACCGTCCCTGAAGGGCAGTTTTAAGGAATCAGTAGGGTATGAGAGTTCTCCAGGGATTACAGAAGAGAGAATACAAAAGAATCCACGAAGAAAGAGTTTTCAACTTTTGTGTTATGGATTGGGTTATCCTCCAATAGATATGTTGAAATTCTAACCCCTCCCTCTCTCTCACAATGTGACTAGATTGGAAATAAGAGGTCTTTTTTGGAGATATTATTAATTACATTATAATGATGTACGGAAATTCAAAATCCCTTCTGAGTGGTGTCTTATAAAAAGAAAGAAAAGTGACGGAGTCAAGATACACACACACACACATTTACACATACAAGTTAGTATGGGGACAATTAAATATTCTGATATTGCAATTTTTGCTATGTGGTCGATATTTTGTTATAATCCATATAATTTAGCATCCTTGCGCAAGAAGGGCTAATCCTTGGAAAAGGTCTTATTCTTAGAAAAGGGAAGGATAAGTAAAACCAGGGAAGACTTTCAGTGAAATGTATTGACACAGTGACTGATACAGTGAGCCAAAGCACAGTGACCTGAGTATGATACAGGTACAAGCAAGGTTTTGATCTGTACAGAGGGTTACAATGATAGATTTAAAAAGGTGATCCAACAGAATGTGGATATTATCAAACAGTACCACATGTAAGCAAAACTTACTGAAGATTACCCAAAAATGACCAGAACAATAAATTGACAGAGCATTGTCAGAAATACAAGCTGGATTTAGAAGAGGCTGTAGCACTTAGGATATCATTACCAGTGTCAAAAGAATATTGGCTGAAAGCAGAGAGTACTAAAAGGACAAAGGCATTTGACTGTGTAGATCATAAAAAAATTGTTGCTAATACTGAGAAGAATGGAATCCCAAAACACTTGATTGTGCTTATGGTAAGTCAAAAAAGGGAACACTGCATGGTTCAAAATAAAGGAATGAGAAAGGGATGTATCCTTTTTTTCATAGCTTTTCAATCTATATGCTGAATAGAGTATTTGTGAGGCTGGACTTTATGAGGGCACATGTGGCATCAAGTTTGGAGGAAGACTGATCAACAACCCGCATTATGTGGATGACACAACTTGTTCTCTGAAACTGAGGAGGATCTGAAACATTTGCTGCAGAAGGTCAAGGACTACAGTCTCCAATATGGATTGGAGCTCAATATCAAGAAAACAAAGATTGTCACCACTGGGCCAATTGGCAGCATCACTATAGAAGGAGAAGAGACTGAGATTGGTAATAATTTCTCTTTCTCATATTCACAAACAACAATCTTGGCACCAGCAGTCAGGTAATCAAATTTAAATTGTTTTAGAAAAGTCTGCTATTAGGGACCTCCCCAGAGTACTGAACAGCAATGAAACAAATCTAGAGACTAAGGTGCACTTGATCCAGGTCATTGTCTTCTCAATTGCAACTATGCATTTAGGAGCAGAACAATGAATAAGGATGACAGACAAGAATCTATGTCTTGAGTAGAGGTGTTGGAGAGGAGTATTGAACATACTATGAACTGCCAAGAAAAGATATAAGTCTGTCCTGGAGAGGGTGAAAGAAATTTGCTGCTTGGAGGCAAGGATTTTAAAACTGCAACTTATATACTCTGAGCATGTTGCTGGGAGGGATCACGGGTTATTCCTTGGAGAAGGACATCATGCTTAGAGAGATAAAGGGTCAGTACAGGAGAGAAAGGCCTGGATAAGATGTATTTATACAGTGACTATGGCAATGGGATCAGGTGCATTAGAGATGGTGACATTGGCTTAGAATAGGGCAAGGTTCTATTTTTTTACAGGGTCACTTTGTATTGTAGTCAACTCAACAACACATAACAACATAGGGTTTCTATTACAGTCAGTTTGATGGCACCTAACAATAATGATATAGTTAGAATTGGATGTTAAGGTGATTGCTTATTGATTGTGATATTTTTTTATCTTCATTTTATTAATTTTTATGATCCTTTTTAGGATTTGTCAAACTGAATACTGAAAATCTCTGATGGTGTGAAGACTCAAGAGAGCTGGATAAAGCTACATGTAAGCAGCACTTCACAATAAGACTTTTGGTAAAATGACAAAAAATACATGGAAGGCAGAAAAGAATTCACATGTACAAATTTCACAGTATATTGAAACTAACAAGAGGAAGTATGTCTAACAAAGCATACCACCTACAAATAAGGCTTTGATATGTTAGCCGACCTTCACATCTAGCAGATTTGCTGGAATTTATTGATTAGTTTACATGTTTGGATTTTGTCACCATTTGGCACTGTCTCAAAGGTCAAAATAATGTGGAATATTTGCAAATCATCAATATTGCACTGAAGTTTAGAGCAGAAAGGAAAATAGGATAGAACTGTTTGTTCCACAGGTAGGTGATCAAAAGGAATTTACAAATAATAAAAAAGGAAGGCACTGGGACAACAAAGAATTAAAATAAAAGGTAGAAGTGCTCTTCTAAAAGTTAGTCTATAGAGGAAGCTTCTTCCTTATAGAATGTTTAGGTGGGTTACTTGAAATATATTTCTGTTAAAAAATAAGTGACACTTATCTATTTGAAGGGAATATTTATCGTTTAGAAGACTGATAGACACTAATAATTTTCTTGTTTAAAAATTAAAACAAAACTAAAAACAAGCCAATTAATGCTCAAGCTAATTTGTAATGTGATTATTGCAAATTGATTGATTGTGGAGTGATTTGAAATTCATGTTCATTTTTTCAAGACTGATTGAGCTTACTTTGATTTGTACAGTTAAGTCATGTCTTAAATGAATTGTAAATGACCTGATCTGTTCTTTAAGGTAGCATTTGATTATTGACAGAGTGACCTGGACTTTGATAAGGCTTTCGTAAATATTGGTAGAGTCTTAGTCACTCTGGAGAAACCATTTTCACTTCAAGTGATTTCTTAGTATGAGGTGTTTAAACATTTCATTAATAGAATTGTTTTTTTCTCTATTTGTAACAGCATGTTCCTCTTCTGTCTGTATTGCGAAAGATTCTGGTAGATCATATCCAACTCTGGGTTTTGAAAACAAACTTGTTTTACTTTTGAGAAACGTTTATTGTTTCATGAACCTGAACTCTCAAAAAAAGTTGAAAATATTAATTTTCAATTAATTTAATTTGCAACAGAAATACTTCCCTAAACCTAGTACTTGAAATTTGGACTTAGAGCCTCCTAAACTCAAGAGAACCTGGCAGTAGTATGAGAACCCAGAAACAGATCAAGGCGTTAGGTATTACAGAAGTGAATTGAGACATAAGGCATCATATCAAGGACTGGCTGAATGGAATGAGGTGTTGAACAGGGTAGGGGGAATGGAAGGAGATGCTGGTGGTGTAGGAGATAGAGAAGGTTCAGTATGGACATGCTAAAGGGGAGGGGCAACACTGAATCTATTGGTTACTTCTGTAATGGGGAGATATCTTTAGTCTGCTCCTT